GACCATATTAACACCACGTGGTGCGATCATCCCCCTTGCGCGGAGTGAGGCTTCTCCACCCCGCACAACATGATCTACTCGACCACCATTATAATTACCGCCAAAAAAAAACGGAGGTAAAAAAACAAAGGGGAACCTGGTTGTCGAGTTCACGAAGTGAACTAACTGGCTTGTCGTCGTTGCCAAGCGACGAAAACCCAACCCCGATGACAGCACCGGGGGGGGGGACGAGGGTGGAAGAAAATAAATAAACGAACCGACAAATAGAAAAGAGAACGGTAGAAGGGTAGATATTCGCCAAGAGGTCGAGCATAGAAAGAAGAAAGCTTCAAATTTCAACAGACCTCGGGCGCAGCCCAGTGGAAAGTGAAATGGTTGAACCCTCCGGTGCCAGGGGGCTGCGACTGCAAGCACTTGGACTTGGTCTGCTCCATCCAGTGGGAAGTTCCGAAGTCGGAGATCTGCACACAGAAAAAAAAAACAGCATTGAAAAAGAGAAAGCAACAGTTCCGTAGTCGGAGATCTATCTGCACACACACACAAAAAAAAAACAGCGTCGAAACAGAGTTAAGAATAGTTCCATAGTCGGAGATATACTATCTGCACACAGAACAAAAAAACATTGAAAATTTAACAACAGTCCCAAAGTCGGAGATTTGCCCGCAAAAAAAATATATGAACAATCGGACACTTTTCAACCGAAACGGTTGAAGAAACGAGCTTGAGACCTACGACACATGTGATTAAGAGAGAGACATGTAGCGACTACCAGACCTAAGTAAATGACTGAATCTGTAAGAGTAATGAACCTTTCTCAACCGAATATCGATCTTGATTAGCTCGTCGGTTGCCCAAGGGCGGCCTGTTCATCAAAATTTGTTTTAGCGTGGAATCTGCCGTTGATTGGGGTATTGGTGACCGCTCGCTTCCGTGGTTATCTTCTGCTCTGACCGAACTCTGGAGCAAAATTCGTCGGCCGATACACGGGTGTCGCGACGCCGGGATGCTCAGTACTCGCGGCGAGCAGGCAAGGTCTCCAAAAATATCGAATGCGTGTGTGTACCATACATTTCGCGGGAGATTGGCAGAAGAAAATGGGGGCGGGGAAAAAACACAAGAAACAAAAAAGACGACGACGTAGACCATCCGGACACGCAGGAATTCGGCCTTCTCAAGTGTCATTTGAAAGTTCACAGCACGGTACACAGCGCTCTTGTCGAGGCCTTTAGGAGCGAAAGAGACAAAGCTAATCTTGGTGATTCCCGTGCTTTTCCTCGACATGAACGTAGTACAGCACAGTCTACAATAGAGCCCCGAAACGTTCATAGCGACAGGTCGGTCGGTGCATCCTCGTCCACCTTAGCGCGACAATCGGCGTCGAGAAGGATGTTGAGAGACTTGAGGTCCCCGTGCCAGGTCGAGTGCTGGTGGAGGTAGGCCATTCCGTGCGCCACGTCTACGACGAGGTCCCTCGTCAGCTGGACATACGGGGAACGGGCGCCCACAAGAAACGAAACCAGCGCGAGAACAGGGGTGTCAGCAGGACGATAAAAGCGACATTAAATCGGGCCGCAGCAGAGATTCATCCCGCGCCACATGACCAGATGCTACCATACACGACATACAAAATACAGACAAGATGTGTTCGGGAGCTGCGCTCCCCCCTGCATCCAATCAATCAAACCTTAGCCGAAATCTCCCGGCCCTCCTCGCGATGCCTCCTGATGAAGGAGAAGAGGTCACCCCCCGACATGTACTCCATCACCAGCACCAGCTGGCTGCAAGGGGGGGGCACGATCGGAGAGGCGTGTCAAGCAACGACGCAAAGCTGCCACGAAAATAGTGGTATCACACCGAAGGCGCAATAACGTGCGTCGCGGCGGACATCTACCCTACGCTGGACGCACGAGTCTTCCGTACGACCGGAAAAGTACCTAAACCATCCCAGACGCGCAACACTGGTCCGAATCAACGAAGGAAGTTTGGCACAGTTACGCCGTACAATTGCATCTTGAAAAACTGGCGAAGCTCGTCACAAGCCATCATTGTCGACGAGAGCTGGTAGCCCGAAATGAAAGAGCACAAGCAGCTCGACAGAAAATAGTACAGCAACACGGAGTATACTTTTTAACGCCACCAAAGCGATGTTTCGTCAGTGCCAAACACAATCCTTCCACCACAGGCAGCGATGACATCTCTCTCTCTCCATCATGCAAACGCCACCAATCGCCTCCTAAGAGCATGGCAGGCAGTCCCGAGATACCCAACACACGCAACTACCTGTGTTCGTCGGGCTCTTCGAGAACAAAAAACGCGTTATGTTTGTGAGCTTGGGGGAAACGCCTCAACCAATGCGGCGGCCAGCCGTGGGCTGGTCCTGCTTGCTGTTGTTGTCATATTTCACTGAGCCCACTCCGGAAGGCATCGCTTGTACGCATTCAAAAGAAGAAAAGCCGAGAGCGCGATCGGCCAACCACTGACTGCACCTCGTCCACGACGTGATGATGCCGAAGACGCGGACCACGTGCGGGCTCTTGCTGAGGCGCCGCATGATGTCCGCCTCTGCCAGGAAGGACTTGATCTGCAGCTGCTTCGCCGCACCGGAGCCGCCCTTGATAGACACCACCTGCTCACGAAGCGGTAGGGAACGGGAGGGGAGGGATACTCGTTGGATGCAGGGCCACACAGGGGGGGGGGGGGGGNGGGGGGGGGGGGGGGGGGGGGGGGGGGGGGGGGGGGGGGGGGGGGGGCAGGGAAACGCACCCAGCTGGTTCGCACTATCTCGCTATATCTGCTTCGAATTCTGCCGTTGTGCAGCCGTAAGGCGTCTGTTATCGTGACGTGACGGCTCGACAGCGTCAAGCACAAAGCTGGTTCGTTCGGTCTTGCTGGAACCGCCGCGCGAATTTCGCCCTTGCGCAGCCGAAAGCCTTCGGCTACAGCTCGAGTCTCAGCCGAAACTGCTGCGAATTTCGCCTTTGTGCAGCCGTGCGCCGTCTGCTACAGCTCGAGTCTCAGCCTGCGGAGGTGTGGCTAGACTTCACGAAATAACGCCGCCCACCCGGTACACCTCCCCCCC